TATGGATTTTATTTAGTATCAGTGTCCTTCATTCTTCCTGTTATCTGCTATCCTTGCCAAAGAATTCAGTGTTTTCTCTTTAGGAGCAACAATAATGTTTAGTAATTATTGAGGGTACTCTGTTTCAGACCTGCATATTAGTTATGTTATTTTAAATTTTTACAGCATTTCTGCAACACATGTAGATAAGTCCTTCTCTTACAAATAAGTAAACTATAATTATAAGACTATAGTTCTAACTCAAAAAGCTCAGAGGTCTTTATTGTCAAGACAACATTCAGGCCCTGTTAATGTGCTTCTACTGTGCAGTGTTGTTTGTGGCAGTTACAAGAGTCAGGTCCAACTTAGAATTAAATTCTGAACCCAGGTATATAAAATACTTTAAACATACAGGTTTTTTGGATATCAGTGCTAACATCATATCATTATAATAACAGCCATATAAACTTGACCTTGTTCATTCCAGGCACAATACAACCTTCAAAACATTACATGCAAAATCATAGCAGAAATTAGCAATATTTTTTATATTTGTAAAATTTTTGTTTTGAGGAGATAATTTAGTTTTATCTGGTCCATTTTAGGGACAGTTTTACATTTACATTTGTGGAGCACACCCTTTATTTTCAGTATAACTCAATAAATCCAAGAATGAAGGATCTTTAAAAGAAGTTAGCTTATTAAGACCCTTTTTCCAAACTTCCTCAGTTATACAAAGCATAGTTGTCTTTTAGTGTTCACTATCCAGGCAAAAATAGTTCAGCACAAGCTTCTTTACTGCCCCCAAATTAATAGGCTCCATTGTCATTTGCATCATCTGTCTCTTGGGTCCCTTCCCCTTTTTCTCATTCTTCTTTCCTATGTGGAGATCCCTCCACCACTTTTTAGATTTCTGAATGCCCTGAAGGTCTCATTCTTTCTCTCTGATCATATGGAAGAAAAGCTGATTCAGTCATGTAAACCTATAAATTACCTGTACTTTCTAGCCTGAAAAACCTGCAGAGACCTGGGTGTTTTAGAATCAGATTTAAACTGTAAGTATATCATTTATTAACTTTGAGACCAAGAACAACTTATAGTTATCTCTCTAACCCTTATTATCTCTAGAATATAGATTATAATACCTAACTTTGAGGTATTGAAACGATTAAATAAGTACAGCATCTTCTTTTCTTATTATTATAGGTGGGGCTACTGAGTTACTCTTTTCTGAAACTTGTGTTTCAAGTACTTTTTAATCTTTAAACTTTTATGGTATCTTTTTTTTTTCTATGCTAGAATGGAACCCATGATTTTGATATGCTAGTCAAATGCCCTACTATACCCCCAACCCCTGATATATTTTTTAATTATACCATGCAAAACATTTTCCTCCCTTAAATGAATATCATCTAATCAAAATCACACAGACATTTAGGAAGACATCAAACCAACCTCTGACCTTGGTTACCTTTTTAGAGTAATCTGGGATTGACAGTATCGGAAAGGGGGTATATGTAACAGCCCATGGTCTGTCTCCCCTTTTCCCTTTTTCCTTGTGCAACTATTGAAGTATTAGAGAGGATCTCACAAACATTTGGAAACAAGGAAGCCTAGGAACCTTCTCCCTGAACCTTGAGCCTAACTTATTCTTGGCTAAGATGCCAACTGGCTGGGCCTCTCCATTTAGATTGTCCCTTTGTGAGAACAGACTCTACTCAATATTCCCTGGCTTCTCGATTTTCTTGATTTCCTTCAGTTTAAATACTCAATATACCCTGAGGGTTCTTTTATAAAACTTAAAGCTTTTGGAAGTATATTTCAACCACCATTACAGAATTTTACTTAAATTCATAGTTTTTAAAAGCTTATTATATTCTACCAAGAGTTTTTGACTTGCTGCTACACAACACAGAAAAGTATAAAATACACAAGATAGTTTATTCTTTTAAGCTGACACTGAAAAATGATGATGTATGACTAAACATCAGAAGCAAATAGAGGGCCAGGGCTGGGGCTCAGCAGCAGTGCACTTGTCTGGCATGTGTGAGGCACTGGGTTTGATTCTCAGCACCACATATAAATAAATAAAATAAAGGTCTATCAACAACTAAAAAAATATTTTAAAAAAAGAAGAAGCAAATAGAAGGCTAGATGTCACAAGAAAGGCATTGGTTAAGTTGGGGCTGGGCAAGGGATTTGAAAGGGGATTAAAGGAAGGAGAGATGTCACACATCTGTGAGGAATCCAGAAAACTGGTATACTTTTATGTCTTTAAGGGTAAGTATGCTTAGTAGAAATAATAAGTGAGTTGGTAGGAAAAAGTGAGTTGGAAGGGAACCTTGAATGCCCTGCTGGTCTACAAGCTACTACACCATGTTTTCCCCACCCCTCAAATTCCATTTCCACTATTCTCTTCCTTTCTTCCCATTCTCTAGCCATATTGGGTAAGGGCTTTAGAGATTCTACTTAGAATCTGTTTCCTCTGCCTGGAGCTCTATTCTCTTAGAGAAATGGTTTACCCCTTTGAAGTCATATTTATTGGGAAGACCTACCCTGACTTCTCTGTATCATGCCCCCTTCCCCTACTTCTGCTGCCCCCCACACCTTTTTGCTTTATTTAACTTCATAATACTTAGGAAGTACATATACAAGGTATTGAAATGTGCTTACTTGTTAATTATTGCCTTCTCCCTCACTATTATAGTGTGAATGGGAAACAGAAATGCTATCCCCAAATATGGCATTTTAGCCCCCTGACTATTTTAAGCTGAAGGAAATTGAAAAAAAAAAAAAAACAGTAGAAAGCAGCAAAGATTTTTGTGGCCTTTTCTTTCTTTGACCTTCTCCTATCTTTCTTCCCCAGCCATAAAAAGAATTCTTTGATCTACCTCCTTTGAAACTTGGGTACAAGACCCTCCTGTGACATTTGTCCTACCCTCTTAAAGGAATGAAGACCTAGAGACACAAAGAAAAATCAGAACAAATGGTCCTTGCTAAGTTCCCTTCAGTATATTACCATAGGCCATATCTGCTTTTTATCCAATCATACTTCTATACCACTGTTCATTTTCATCAACTGTAAGCATAAAATTTAGTTTTTCCTGGGTCTTCATATGTGAAGTTTCCTGTGTCACCTAAGACTGGTTAAATAATTTAGTTTTGCCTCCTCTTGATATTTTGTCTTTTATTATAGAGATATCAGTAATGAACCTCCCAAAGGTTAGGAAGAGATACTACTTTTTCTCCCATGCAAGTGTGTGTGCTCGCTGAGGGAAAACACTTACTCACTGCTATATCCCTAGGACCAGTCCCTGGTACAAATATTTATTTGAACAAATATTTATTGGACAAAAGGGAAAATGAGTGCAGGAAATGGATATGGATATGGATCCCACAGGAGTTGCATTCTAGGCAAGGGAATACACATTTAATTTATTAGGGGGTTTTCATTGAAAGGTAGGACAGGGGAGTGAAAACAAAAGCATTTATTTTAAGAATATTAAGTTGCTGGGCTGGGGTTATGGTTCAGTGGTAGAGTGCTTGCCTCACATATGGCAAGGCCCTGGGTTTGATCCTCAGCACCATATAAAAATAAATAAAGTGAAGGTGTTGTGTCCAACTACAACTAAAAAATAAATATTAAAAAATTAAGTTGCTGATGATGTGCAAAATAGATTTTTTAAAAAAGTCATTTCAGCTCCCATTCCCCTCCCCAATTCAACACTCTGTACGATAGTTAACTTTCCATTTTGAATTTTTTTTGACTCATAATAAATTACTATAATTGTACAATGAATTCTCTTTGTCTGCTTTCCCCCTCAAATGATTGTATACTATAATATACATTGTGACATATAGGAAAATGACATTCATGCATTACTATTAACTCAGGGACAGACCTCAGCCAAATTTAATCATATTTTAAATGTACTTTTTTGATGGTGAGCAGTTCTATAATATTTTATCCCACATGTTATTTAATTTTCTATATCTGATTTTGAATTTTTTAACAAAGTATTAAAAATATCCTCTTTAATACTATTCTCCTGGCTCTTGACCACCTATCATTTATATATTAATAAAATAAATGACCGATTTTTTTGTTTGTTCTACATTGATGTTTCTTATAGGCAGGTAATCTTTCCTTTATGTACTAAAGATGACTTTAAAATTTTACTTTACCAGTATTATTTACTATTTATTGATCATTTTTCTACTGGACCTTTATTTTATTCATTTATTTATATGGGGTGCAGAAAACTGAACCCAGTGCCTCATTCGTGCTAGGCAAGCGCTCTACCACTGAGCCACAACCCCAGTCCCAGCAATATTTTTGGGGGTAGCAAAATAATTCTATGAGACTGTTAATAGAATTCTAAATTTTTCCCCTTTGCCTACCCAGCCCTACTAATTAGAAATATATTTCTGGTAAATAACTTATTGATCATTCCAGATATAGGAAGGATGGACGTGGAACATAACTAATTCTTTAAAGTCCTTTAATTATTCTTTTCCTCTTCGTTCTCCTCCTCCTTCTTCTTTCTTCAGTACTGGGTATTGAATTCCCGGGTAGTGTACTACTGAGCTACACCACCAGCTCTTTTTATTTTTTAATTGAGACAGCATCTTGCTAAACTGCTGAGGCTGGCCTTGATCTTCCTGTCTCCCTTTCCCAAGTAGTTGGGATTGTAGGTGTGCATCACCATACCTGACTTAACTTCTAACTTTTAATGATATTCTGCAAGCCATATGATTTTTCTAATAGCCTAATTTGTTTGTTTTTATATGTTGTGGGACATTTTTAACTTTAAGTACTTATAGATTTCCCAAAATTAAAGTTAAAATCTTAATAGCTTAATTCTTATTCGTGTACTCTATTTTGGGTATATATGTGTTGCATATGTCAAGCTGATGGTTACAGTGGAAATTGATGGTCTTTATTGGGTTTCTGGGTTAATATTGGTGGCCTTTAAGTGATATCAACTGACCGTCTGATGTTCTTGCTGCATTTCTTACAGGTTCTGAGTTCTGTTCGTACAGAATGGGATCCACTAGATGTTTGCTTTGGCACCAAACAGCCTTATCAGGTGTTTACAGTGGAGCAGTCCGTCAGTGTAGACAAAGAGCCCATGGCTGACAGCTGCATCTATGAATGTGTTCGGAACAAAATCCATTGTGTGTCAGTCACCAGAATACCATTAAGATCGAAGGCCATCAGCTGCTGCAGGAGTGTTACTGAAGACAAACTGATTCTGGGCTGTGAAGATTCTTCAGTAGTTCTTTATGAAACTCACCGTAGAGTGACTCTCTTGGCCCAGGCTGAACTTTTGCCTTCATTAATAAGCTGCCACCCAAGTGGTGCCATTCTGCTAGTTGGCAGCAACCAAGGGGAGCTGCAAATTTTTGATATGGCTCTATCCCCTATTAACATCCAGCTCTTGGCTGAAGACCGCTTACCCAGGGAGACTCTGCAATTCAATAAGTTCTTTGATGTTTCCAGCAGTCTTGTTCAAATGCAGTGGATAGCTCCTCTGGTTGTTTCTCAGAAGCCTGAAAATAGACACATCTATGATCTTCTCTTCCTCAGGTTTGACAGAGGACCTTTGGGTGTGCTTTTGTTTAAACTTGGTAAGTCAAGGAAGTTGGTAAGTACAGTGTTTATGATAGTGATATTACTAAGGCAACTAAAACTACTCTTGGAATGTAGATTTTTGTTATTTGTAATCCCATAAATATGTTTGCCTTTCAAACAGTTTCTTAAAAAGGCTTTGTGGATCATTTTCTAAATGTCAAATGAATATTAGATATTGAATTTGGAAATTTTACTAATTATCCTTTATGATGATTAAAAAGCCTGAACTTTCACATCTGGTACTCTCTGAAATGTCCTATTAAAACACTCCTTAAGAAATAAACATGTGAATATTTTAAAAGTACTTTCTGTATTCATTGAAAAATTCTGTGTTGTAGGAATATAAAACTTTTTCTGTAAATGTTATTTTAGGTTATCCATATCTTTTGCTTCCCAGCCTGAAATTTTGTGAAACAAATAAAGAAGGCAGATATGTAGTTAGAATTTGCTAAAAATATTTGTGTAACTTTTTGTTTTGTTTCCCTTTTGGATTAAAAACATTCAAAAGGATTTATCATTATTTATAAAACTATATATTAATATAGCATATTCGACCAGGAAACTTTAAAATGAAATCCTCTCATGATGATTCATTTGCTTGTTACAGTTTCATATTACTGTTTATGTCCTAGAATAGCAAAACAACTTTAGGTAGTTTTGTATAATTTAATGTTCTTGAGAGAAACTCACATAGGTTTAAAAAATTTTTGTTTCATATACATTATAGCTACTTAAAAAGTTAGAAAAGTAAATACATTTTTAAACCTCTTATAAGACTTGACTTCGTGATAAAAATTTGCGATTTACTTTTTTTATAGGTGTACTTGTCTCTGAAATTGAACACATGAAATTGATCTAATGAAAATATCTTGATTAATATGAAAGATATGATGCATATAATGTGAGGCCTATTATTTTCCTTCTACAAACTAAAAATACAAATAAATGCATTCACAATGTTAATATTGTCTAAGAAAAAAAATGTTTGGAATCTCATTTGTTATGAGATAATCCAGTTATACTTTGCCTGACTTCATGTTTAACAGTTGTATGTCTCCATACACAACACTAATTAAAGTGGATGTTTGATGTTTGCACGTCTTGTTAAAACACACACTCTCTTTCTCTTTGTCTCTTCCTCCTTCTCTCTCTTTTGCCTGCTTTTTCTCTCCTCTCTCTTGCTCTCATTCCCTCTCACCCTTTAAATTACTCAGTTACCTGTCAAACATAAGGCTGTCTGCCCACATCTACCTGGCTTTTCTTCAGCCCTCCCTTGTGGGCCTACTCACAACAGCTTTGCAAAAAGCACAGCTTTCTCTTCCTATCTCTAGCACATTTGCCTTCTTACTAAAGTAAACAGGCTCTCAGTGTAGGGATTTAGAGGGCTTCCTGCTAATTGCCAGCTTGTAAACTTAATTGGACTGTCTCCCTGGGCACTGTTCCTAAATCAATTAGGCAATGAGTTGGCTGTCACCTCTTTTTCCCCCAAGAAGGTCTCTTGGAAGAGAATTATCCAATAGAAGTCAAACATTCAAATAAAAAGGTGATAACTTCTGCAACTGACATTTATCATTTAAATTTTATTTTCAATATGACTCTTAAGTTTGTAGGATAGGGACAGTGTACAGGATCATTAAGAGAGCTAAATATGGAATTTCTAAGGATTTTTTAAAACTTTTCTTATTTTTAATGTATTATAAGATTAATATTTCTATCAAATTATTTTTCCTGGGAAGAGTAGATTCCTTGAAATAATCAATTTCAACTAACAATTTTTTTAAAAGAAAACCCAGTTTAAAGAACAGATTTTTCTCATGATCTGCTACTAAATACATCCAAAAAATTAATATACTTCTTGAATTAACACAGTGCTGATTCTGGGCATCCATGTGGAATTTTCATGTATAATTCAAGTTACTGCATATGTAAACAGGTAGTTGCATGTGCAGTTCCCCACTAGGGAGCATTTATGAGATTTATCTCAGAGCTTGTTATGCAAGTCTTTGGAAAATTTGACATGAAAGGTGTAGCTTACAATTTAAAATTGTAAAGATAGATCATAGATCATAGTTTAAAATAGAGTGCTGTCATATGTAAACGTGGCAGTCGCTGATGCCAATATGCTAAGATTTTTGGAGTTTGACTCTTAGATTAGGTCAGTTAGAGTAATATTGAAGGGAAACTCTGTTCCAAGGGTAGAGTTTCCATTCTTAATTCTTACAGTGATTGTACAAAAAATTGGGGGTATTAAAAGGCCATCCCCACTGATATTAAAAGAATTCCAAATACATGTCTTCCTCAGGAAGCAGCTGGAAGTGTCATGCTCCTACCAGGAAGCCAAGAAATATTTCTTTATATAAAGCAATAAGTACAGTATTCAGAATTTTTTTTATGTGACAGTCAATATCTCATATTTCCACATACATAAACTAAGATTAATTTTAAAAGGAGGAGGACCCAATTATACTACCAGGTTCTTAAAGCTTTTCCGTTTCCGTTAGAACCTTTTCTGATATTCATTGCTCTCTTTAAACCCACAAGATCAGCTCTGTCTCCCCTCAACAGAGAATCTCACCTTTTAATTGGCACTTCATTAAGTTTATCTGTTCCTCACCACCCGCCCAACACTTAACCACAGGCACCTGAATCTTTCCCTGGAGATCCAAAGAAAAAGGAGCCCTTCCTCTACTCCATGACCATTTCCACCACTACTTCTGCTATGGATTCCACAACATTACCCTTGACACCTTTACCTTGTCACCCTTCCCACCCCCCATGAATTGTGTTTCATTAGCAGTAAACAGGCCCAAACCACATCATGAAAACAAGTTCTTCCTTAAAAATGTTTCCCATTATTGATCAAATGTTCACTTTCCTTTCATAGCCAGAGTCATTGAAACACTGACTTTCCGGGGGCGGGGGGTGGTGGTGGTGGTGGCTGGGGTTGTGGCTCAGCAATAGAGCGCTCACTCGCACGGGCGACACCCAAGGTTCCATCCTCAGCTCCATAAATGAATGAATGAATGAATGAATGAATGGTGTGTCAACTACAACTAAAAAATATTTTAAAAAGAAAGAAACACTGACTTTCTCAGCTTCCTTTCTTCTCATTCTCTTGTCAGAGCACTGCATCGCGGTTTGTGTCTGTAGTGTTCTCTTGGAACCACTTTTGGAAAGGTCGCCTGTGGCTTCCTCCAGGATACATTTCTCATGTTACTTGATGGCTTTTCAGTGTTTGATGGTTGCTGACCACTCCCATTGTCATAGAACTCTTTATCATATTTGCCTCTTATGACCCTGAATGCAACTTTTCATCACTTTTACACTCTTCTTCTGCCTACTCATGAAAATTTTTGGGCTCTCCAGGGTTCCATTTATAGTTCTTGTCTCATTTTATACAGATTGAGAGTTTATTTTTAAATTAGCTATATGTTATGGTTTGAATTTCCTCTCCAAACTCATAGTGAGATTTAATTGCCATTGCAACTGTATAAAGATGTGAGATCTTTAAGAGGTGATTAGGTCAGGAAGGTTCTGCCCTTGTGAATGGATTAATGCCATTATTGAGGGAGTAGGCTAATTTATTTCAGAGTGTATTTGTTATCAGTTCAATTCCCACCCTTTCTCTCTGTCTTGTGCATGCTCAGTTGTCCTTCCACAATGTTATAACATAGCAAGAAAGCCTTTATCATATGCAGTCCTTTGATCTTGATCTTGAACTTCCCAGTCTTAAGTACTGTGAGCTAAATAAGCTTCTTTTGTTTATAATTTATCTAGTCAATAATATTCAATTATAGTAGCAGAAAATGGTCCAAGATGCTTCTAATTCTCTAACTCCAGCCCAGATGACTACTGACTCCACATCCGTACATTTACCTATTTTAATAGATACTATTTCAACCTCATTGTGTGCAGATGTGAAGTTATCATCTTTCTCCCTAAACCTGCTTATCTTCTTGTATTTTGGAAGTTAGAATGATTCAGATGGAACCTCCAAGTCAGAAATCATCATAAAATCTTCCCTCACCCCTAATGTAATGGACCTCCTTCAATGTTAATGTTAGTAACAAAATCCTATCAATTCTGCCTTCTAAATACTGTCAAAGGCATCTTATTCTGTTCAGCCTCATTACCTTAATCTAGACCTCCCTTGTCTAATTGTGATCAAGTAGAGGCCCTCTGTCTGCGTCTTTTGCCTACCCTTCCTACTTTCCAGTTAATTCCCTGAACTGCACAATCTAACAGTGCAATCACTGTTCTGATCCAGCCGAAATACTCCAGTGATGGATCAACCCTCATCTGCCTCTTGGGTTTCATCCCCCGAGCTTTGCTGCACTATAGCTTCCCAGCCAAGCCTACTCACCCCTTCCATTGTGGTGGCAATAGTATTCCATCTGTGTGGAGTGACCCTACAGTGTCCTCATGCAGCCTGCAAAGTTGAGAAAAGGTTACTTGTTCAAGTGATAATATTCAATGAAGTATAATTGAAGTTAACATCTTTCTTCTTATATAATTTTGAAAATCACAGGTAATATGTGAGTATATGTGTGTTTATATCTGTCATGCTCCCTAAAAGGAAAGGAGTATGATTTTTCTCTTAGAAACTTTATAAGTGTATTTTCTTCAAAAGTTATTTTTAATTAGATATTTCAAAGTTATACTTTACCCAAGAGACAATTGACATTAGTTTATTGCTAGAAAGAAATGTTGGGTACTTTATTAAATACCAGTCTTAAAATTGAATCTTAAATTTTTTGAAATAAACTTTTATTACCAATAGAATTCTACTTTGATGATGAATGTTTAAAAATCAAGTTTATTGAGGTATAATCTAATAAATAAAAATTTATTTGTATAGTTTAATAAGTTTAAATGTATGCAGTGCCATGATTACCACCATAATCAAGGTACTGAACATTTCCATCATCCCAAAAAATTCTCCCAAGGCCCTTTGTCATTAATCTCCATCTCTCTCAAATCTGACAAACAGTACTTTTTGTCACTATGAACTAGATTTGTTTTTTATAGAATTTCATAGAAATAGGATCATATAGTAGATCTTACTTTGCATTTTTATATTATCACTCAGCATTGATCTGTGTATTATAAGATACACATATTATTATGTGTATCTTATAAGTTTTTCTTATCTTACTGAGTAGTCTTCCATGATGCAGACATACCATAACTTTTTTATCCTGTCAAATACTTATTGACACAGGTATAAGCTTAAAGGACTAAAAATTATATGTACTTTCATGTACAAATATTTGTATGGACACATTTCCATTTTTCTTGGGGAAAACCTAGAAGTATACAATATTTAGGTCATATGCTACTTTAAAAGAAATGACCTTTTTATAAAGTGATTATACCATTAATATGTTGTTATGGTTTGCATATGAGCTGTCCCCCCAAAGCTCATGTGTGATTCAATGCAAGAAGGTTTAGAGGAGAAATAATCATTTCGGTTTATAGCCTTAACCTAATCAGTGAATTAATCCCCTGGTAGGGATTAACTGAGTGGTAATTGAAGTGTAAGGTGTGGCTGTGGGGTATATATTTGTATTTGGCCAGTGGAGTCTCTGCTGTCTGATCATTATGTGGCCTCTTGCCTCTGCCACATTCTTCTGCCATGATGTTGCACCTCACCTGAAGCCCTGAGGAATGGAGTTGGCCTTCTATGCACTAAGACCTCTGAAACCATGAGCCCTCAAATAAACGTTTCCTCCTCTACAATTGTTCTGGGCAGATCTTTTATAACAGTGGCGAAAAAGCTTACTAAAACATGTCCATCAGCAATTTATGGACACGCTGGTTGCTCCACATAGTCACTAACACTTGACATTAATGGCCTTTTAAATTTTCGTCACTCTAGTGAGTGTGAGGTAGTTGATGACTATTGGAGTTGAACATCTTTTCATATATTTATTGCTGTATATTTTCTCTGATGGAAGTATATCTTCAAATCTTTTGCCCAAATTTAATTAGATGTTTACTTAATGATTTATTAGAGTTCTAATACATATTCTGAATAAAAGGCTTTGGTAAGACACTTATGAATATTTTCTTCTAGTTTATAGTTTACTTTTCATTTTCTTAACAGTATGGTTTGAGTTGTAGAAGTTTTTAACTTTAATGAAAGTTCAATTTGTAAACTTCCTTATTTTATGGCTTCTGCTCTTCATGTCCTATCTAAGAATACTATCCCAAGTTCACAAAGATTTTGTTTTGTTTTATTTTAGAAGTGTTATGGTTTTAGCTCTTAGATTTAGGTTTCTGGTCTATTTCAAGTAAATATTTTGCGTATGATAAAGTTATGGGTTGAGGTTAATTCTTTATTATGAATACTCAGCTGTTCCAGCACCATTTGCTGGAAAGAGTATTTTTTTCTCACATTGAATTACCTTGACCATATGTGTATGTTTATGATGAGTCTGTTCTCTTCCTCTGAGCTGCGTATCTATACTTAAGCGTAGTGTCTTACTTACTGTAATTTTACAGGAAATCTTGAAATCAGGTACTGTTAGTTCTCTCATTTTGTTGTTCTTTTTCATATTGTTTTGGCTACTCTAGATCCTTTGCATCTCTATATAAATTTTAAAACTGGCTTAGCAGTTTCTACAAGAAGACCTACTAGGATGTTGATTTACTTTGTGTTGAATCTATATATCAATTTGAGTAGGAATACAAATTAATAATATTTAGTTTCTTTCCATTTATTTAGGTATTCATTAATTTTTTTCTGCAATGTTGTATAGTTTTAAACATAAAGATCTTGTACATATTATGTTAAATTTATCCTTAAGTATTTCATGTTTTTGAAAAATGTTGTAATAGTATTTTTAATTGCCGTTTTTAATCATTTTTCTGGGATTATGTAGAAATCAATTTTTAAAATATTGACCATGTGTTCTGGAACCCAGTTAAACTCATTCTTAGTTGCTATAACTTTTGTGTAGATTCCTTAGGATTTTCTTCATAAATGATCATGACAACTGGATTCAAAATCTGTTTACATTTTATCTAATCTGTATGCTTTTATTTCATTTTACTCACTTTTTACACTAGCTATGACATCAAGTACAGTATTAAATAGAAGTGCTAAGAGATGACATCCTTGCTTTGTTTCCTGTCTTAGGTGGAAAACATTCAGTCTTTCATTCTACCTATGATATTTCTTGGTTGAGGAATTCCTCTTCCATTTATAGGCTTCTATGATGTATTATCTTCAGTGAATTTTGAAACTTTTTCAAGTGCTTTTTCTGTATTTGTTAAAATAAGTATGTTTTTTTCTTTTTAATATGGTCATGTGGTGAATATATTGATTGGTTTTAAGATGCTTAAGTGATCTTACATTTGTGGGATAAATGTTATTTGTTTATGACATCTTTTTTATATATTTTTGGATTTGCTAATATTTTGCTAAGGAATCTTATGCTTATTTGTGAGGATATTGAAATATTATTTTATTTTCTTTTAATGTCTGTCATTTTTAGAGCTGGTATAGTGATAATCTCATAAATTGAAGAGTATTTGTTTCTCTTGTATTTTGGATTATGCAGAGTACATATTTTCTTTTAATGTTTGATAGAATTCATCAATAAAGGCATCTGGACATATGCAGAGTTAAAGGTGTGTGTGTGTGTGTGTGTGTAAAGGTTTTTTTTTTTAAAAAAAAAACAATGAATTGAAATTTAAATAATATAAAAACCATTCAAGTCATCTATTCTTTCTTTTTGGAAGAAAAGGTGCTAGAGATCAAACACCAAGGTCTCTGAGCTACAGTCCTAGCCCCTGTTTGTTCTTGAGTGAAGTTTGACATTTTGGGTCTTTCAAGGAATCCATTTAATTTAAGCTACATTTACATAAATTTACTCATACTCTTTCCTATTTTTAAATGCCTGTAGTTATATAGCTCTTATTTTTGATATTGATAATTGTATCATCTCTTTTTCTCAGTTTACTGATTTTTTTCAAAGAGAAAGCTTTCAAGTTTATTTGATTTTTATTGTTCTTCATTATTTTCTATGTATTAGCTTTATTATTTTCTTCTTTCTATTTACATTGGATTTAATTTGTTCTTTTTTCCCTAGGTTCTTAATGCGGACACTTGGATTATTGAGCTTAGATCTTTCTTCTTTTCTAACTGAAACACTTAGAAATTTTCCTTTAAAAACCATAGCTACATTTCACAAAGTTTTTTATGTTATATTTCTATTTAATTCAATTCAACATAATGTCTAATATACTTTGTGATTTTTTTGACCCATAGGTTATTCAAATATTTGTGAATTTTCCAGATAGCTTTCTGTTATATATATCTAATTTATTTCTCTTATGGTTAGAGAACATAACCTGTTCATGATTTCAAAACTTTGAAATGTATTAAAGTTTCTTTTATTATTTAGAATATGCTCAGCTTGGTTAATATTCAGTGGGCCCTCAAAAAGAATGTGTATTTCATTGTTGGGTAAAGTGTTTTTTATCAATGTCAGATGAAATTCATTGATAGTGTTTTTCAAGTATTTTATATTTTTCCTGAATTTCTGTTTACATGATCTCTTGATTTATAAAAGCAGTCCTGAAATATCTAACCATAATTACATATTTTAATTTTTTTCTTTTTAGTTCTGTCATGTTTTGCTTTATTATTTCAGAGCTCAGTTTATTAGGTGTACTTAAGAATTGTTATGTTTCTTCATAAATTTTGAGCCCTTTATTATAAGGGTAAGAATTCTGGGTTAATTTATTTTTAATTCTCAATACTTTAAAAATGTCTTCCTGTTGTTTTCTAGCTTGCATAATTTTACATGCAAAGTCTGGAATCATTCTTTGTTTCTCTGTACATCCTATGCATCTTTTTCCCTCATTTTTTTTTCAATTTTGTTGTCTTTGAACTATTTGATCATAATTATGTTAGCTCTCCCCACCCCCAACAGATCAGTTCTTTCTCTTGCTACTCATAGAAGTGTTGCTTAGGGATAGAATCAACAAATCTCAGGTATTTTCAGCTTCCTGCAAAAGTTCTCTGCATTAATATCTACTGCCAAGTAGCCACCTTGATTTATGAGAACTTCCAGTGCTTGACTGCAGGCTCATGGAGACTTTAGGATAGTTATATTTGTTGATTGTACCAACACAAAAGGAATAGTAAAGTTTTACTGCTTAGTATAGTTAGGGCAATTCTCCAGATTCCCTATCAAGTTGAGTCCTGTTAGATATAGCACAAATTTTTATTTTGATGGGACTTGAAGTTAGTGTGAAGAATTTCAGCATCTTTCTCATTAACTAATTTAAAAAAAATCCTACAACCTATAAATAGCCCAGTTAAGTGATGATGATAGTAATAAAAAGAATTGCAATAATATTTTATGATACTTTATAGCTTACAAAGTAATTTTACACACATTTTCTCATTTAGCTTTATGATTATTTGTACTGAGAAGCTATTGTAGAATTGCTAAAGTCAGTAAACATCGGCTAAAGAAAAAAAGATTTTATAGCTAGCCATTTTCAAAAGATGAAAAACAAAACAGAAACATGCTTTAAAGCCCTAGTATTTATTGTCATTTAACACTCAGAAATTGTTAGTTTCAAATGAGATCAGTCTTTTAAAAGACAATTTTAAAAGACCAGAACAGACAGCTTCCCCTGAACTTTTCTTTTTATGTTCTTGGTCCTCTAGAATTAAAAGTAAATTTTCTTTCATTTTAAAAGGATAAATGTGTTCCTGTTGTACCAAGATGTTTTATAGAAAATATTGGTTGAGAAGGGGATTAGTCCCATATACTAGCACTTAATGCAAGAAATATTTAATGTTTTTTAAAAATTTTTCCTTTATAGGAAAGTTAAGTCTGTTTTTGTTATTCTGTATTTTAAAAGATTTACCTAGTTTTATATGTTTTGTGGCAGGCATACTCACTCAGGGACAACTGGGCCTAGTAGATATTGTCTTCCAGTACATTCATTGTGATGAGATCTATGAAGCAATAAACATCCTGAGCAGTATGAACTGGGACACCCTGGGCCAGCAGTGCTTTATCAGCATGAGTGCCATCGTGAACCATCTCCTTAGACAAAGACTTACTCCAGAGAGAGAAGGTCAGACCTGAATATGTTTCACAAATTGGTTTTGTATATACATGAAGTACTTTTTTTGAGTTAGATGTTTTAAGACATTTTTGAGTGATGTTATTGGAGATTGAAAGACAAAAATGTTAATTCTCTATTAAAACTGAAAGGATTAGATAGCAGATAATTGCTCCCATGTAGTACTTACTATGTGGTATTTGTCAACATAAAGAACAACTTTTCTGTATAGCTTGTGTTGGAACTCACAATGCAGTCATTGTACAATTCAGTCTAAGTGTGAAATATGCTCAGATTTCAAACTTTGATCAGCAATTTCATGTACTCTCTTGGTCTGTAGACAAAGGGCCTCAAACAAAGGCCTTTATTACTCCTTCATATTAGACATCAATATTATTTTCCTCACATCCAAGTCCTCTGTCCAGACAATAGTCATTAACACTCACTTTTTGTGTGTGTCAGAATTGTATTGCAGAATTGCTCCTTCTTGTTTTCAATCTTCAAACTTGTGCTTTTGACACCTCTGTCCTTTCTGTCTGCTTGGATTTTTCCTACCTTTACTCAATAAGTAACTTTGCCTATAGGGATACTAGATGTTTATTGTTAAAAAGAAAAAAACAAACAAACAAGATATGTCACCTACAATAATGTAATAAATCTTTTATGAGGTATTCATTTATGTAATATAAATTGCATCAAAAATTTGCAACTTCATTTACATCTTTGTGATAAGCATTGATATTAATGGTGGGAAATCATGGCCAACAAGAAATTGACCATAAGTAATAAGACAGGAAATTAGGAAAAACAAGATATGTCAAAAGGTCCTTTACATTTTCTTTCTTACTATTTTCTGTGCATTTTTATAGATTTTTTTACTACATTGTTATTACATTTCCAAAGTAAGCAAGTTTTATTTTGATAGTGTTCTGTGGTTAATTTTCATCTTAGGAGTTTTAGAGAAGAATAATCAGTAATAACATACTTCTTCAGGAAGTCTGTATCAGGGTCTTGGGCAAACTCACAGAAATCCCATAATAATGATTTATTTAATAAAAATTGAATGGACTTTTTGGAGGTAGTGCAAACCCATACATGAAGATTTCAGTGTTTCCACACTAAGAAAATTCCTTCCACAAGCCAAGTGAGATGGTACACACCTGTACTCTCAGCTACTAGGGATACCGAAGTAGGAGGATTGCAAGTTTGAGGCCCTCCTGGGCAGTTTAGCCAGATCATGCCTCAAAACAAAATTTGAAAAAAAAAAAAAAAAAAAGGCTGGGGATGTAGCTCAGTGGTAGAGTGCTTGCTTGTGTGGCATGTACGAGGCCCTGGATGCAATCCCTACATCGCTTCCCCACAACAGATACACTTTCACTGTCTTCTACAATGCTTGGCCCACAGAAGGTACTCAATGAGTATTAGTAACAATAAAAAAGAAAGTTTAACTCCAAGTTTATTAGAGTATGATATATTGCTGTAATATTTCTGCCTGCAGAACTATCTCAAGTAATTATTTTTTAGTATTGATATACTCCCAAGACCTCAAAATTGGGTACATAAAAAGAAATAACAAAAACACGTTCCCTAAAGGAAGCCTATGATGATACATAAAATCTATATAAGAGACCCTAAATTTATACTTAAAGAAGAAAAGTATAAAAGTAGAAAAGATAAAATATTGACTGTCAGGACACTGAGAAATTGCTGCACCTAGTGAATTTATGTTGTAAGATTACTATGTCATAAAAAATATTGTTAAGGAATACACAAATGGGCATTATCAGATTCTTGCTCTAATAAAGGATATTTTCAAGGAACCATATTGGGGAGATAGGGAAATAAAAAGCTTTTATGATAGTAGCCTATTAAAATAAAATGCTTGCATGATGCTGGGTTATCAGAATATGTACATTTTAAGTAGATATGTGCATTTCCCCCTAAGTAACTGCAAAACACATTTCTAAAACATTCAGAGTTCTTCTCTGTTGAGATTTATTCTATCTGAAGCTAACAAATTTGACATGGTAATTTGTTTTCCTTTTATTAGTGGAACCCAGTGAGCTCTTTTATTTGTAGCCATGTTGTGGTTATCTTTGAGATCTTCATTTCTGCCTTAAACATCAAGCTGGGATATCTAATGAATCTATAACTGTGCTGGGAGTTACAAGTATTCCATGTAGGTTCGAACATTTCAGATGTACGAAACATGCTGTCAAGAAAACAAGCAATGGCAAGAGAATCTGGCTTGTTTTCACAATAGCATTGCTATATTCAATTTTAATCTAAATTGACTGCTGCTTTGAAAGAAAATACCTCTAAAGTTCATCTTACTTTACTGTCTAGATTTATGATTAAAAAAAGAAATTACTAACAGCTTAGCCAAGTCCATAGCAATTACTCTGATGAGGAATTTAATACTTTCAAACACAAATGTGCCTACAACTAAAGAGTTTTGCTAAATAATGAATTGTTTATTCAACCCAGTACTGGCAGCATAAAAAAATCAGAGGAGTCTAACTGTGAACTGTAGTGTTCTCATACATACACATACTCTCACCATTATGGTAATTACTTAACTTTCAGGTATTTCTGGGCTGAAGCACAGTCCCATAGGCATGCCTTGATAGAAGACCAGACATTTTTTGCATTTTCCCCCTATTTTCTATCCCCCTTGTTTATCAAAATGTGTATTTTCCCCCTAATCTCTAGTCCTCCTTGTTTATCAAAACTTGCTTTTTCAGTCCTCCTTTCTTCTCCCAGGGTGTTAGTTTTCACTAACAAAACCAAGAATCTTGTTGCTTAGGACAGGATTTAGGAAAATATAGGGACTTTCACAGCCCTGTTAAAATTGTTGTAGAGAGGTGGTCTCACTGTTTTTAATTGTATTGTTGTTTTTATTTGTATTGTTTTAAAAACCATTTCTACTATGCTGACTTCAATTTCCCATGTGAAAAGGTTAGTTTTCTCTTTTCAGCTAAAAAGAGTAAATGTTGAGCACACTGCAAGTTGATTTTACAGGAAATACTAGTTCAAACTGTGTAACTTTGATGAGTCACTATTTTAATTACCCATTTGTGGTGAGAGGTTGGTTCATTATGGATTTCTTCAGTTTTGACAGCTTTTTGTTGCTCAGAGTCATTGTCAGCTTTGCCTCAAGTGAAAGTTTATACACAGGTTTGTTTTTGTACCAGCTGTCATATTTTAATTTCATCTTTCCTGCAACAAGCTCACATTTCATCCAAGTTCGAAAAACCTGACTGACTGCAAACATGAGTATTCTGTTGTAATTGAAGGAGTTTCACTTGTTTTAGTGCTGCTATGTTTGAATTCCACAGCACAGCTTGAGGCAAGCCTTGGAACCTTCTATGCTCCAACACGACCACTTCTGGATACAACTATTTTGGAATATAGAGACCAGATCAGCAGATATGCAAGGAGATTCTTCCACCACTTGCTAAGGTGAATGCTGTATTTGGACTGATTTGTGTCAGACTAACTACCAATTTCAGGAGCTGCCATCTTTAATGAGAACATTCCATAATCTGGCTATTTTCTGACAGTCCATCCCTTCAAAGAAAAACATTACTTCTCTTGATATTTTTTATTTAATTTGTTCTTATTTTCCTTTAAGGAAATATTTGAATATTGTTTGGGACTTTTACATCACCGGTATTCTTTTATTTTTTTTTTAGCTTTACTATATTTTCTAAGTGTGACCTGTATTCTTTAATATTCTTTCCCCTTTGATATTAAAGCAAAAAATACCAGCTATGTAAAATCAATATAAAAATATTAACTCATTTTGCTCCTAGCATTAGAGAAATGTTTTCATTTAAATTAAAACTAAATATAAGAATATGCTATAAAGTTCTGAGACAGTAATTGGTTTGCTTTACTTTCAGAATGACTATAGAAAGATTCATTCATTATCAAATAATGGGGCAGATTAATAATTTTACTGTACCTAATTTTCTCTGCTTTCCCTGGGTATAATATGTTCTTTTAACATTGAAATATGTTACAAATTAGATAATAATGTCAAAAATTGCTCTGAGAACAATAATATAGAAATTGAAGGACAAGTATTTTAGCATTTATATATATATATATATATATATATATAATATATAAATATATATAATATATATATATATATATATATATATATAAATATAGATATAATTCAGAAAACAGAACGGATGGATGGAAGGAAGATAAAAGGATGGACAGATAAAAAGAGATTAGAGCACATATAAATGTGATACCATATAAAAGAAAGGAAGTGATTGGCACAAAATTTAGAATGATGTAGAGTAAGTGAAAACAAGTATGACAGAACAGGCAGGCACATGGAATGGAATCCTCTAGGTTTTAGTACTATGTTCCATTTCTTAAGACGAGTGGTACATATCAGGGTCTGTTAAAAATGATTACTGCTTTTTTTGTGTGTATGTGTGTATGTGTGGTATACTCTTGTATACAATATGTTTTAAAATAGAACATAATAGAATTTTCAATTGTGTGTACCAAAAGGAAGTTGGGTTGATTTTTGGAATTTTAAAATTTTACTAATAATGTAATCTGTTATAATGCCTTTTAACTCTTTCAAAGACTTAAATATATATTCTCTAATTTTTTCACTCAGAACAACCCTGTAAAGGGGGTATTATCATTTGACAAATGAGTAAACTGAGGCCAATATGGTAAGTGGTTGGATTAGATGAAATAACAGATTACTGATGGTGCTGGATCTTGAACTGTTTTTTTTTTTTTTTTTTTGATCCTCTGCTCCTTACTCTTAAGACCATTTATCTATCGTTTGTTGTGTATATTTTAGATGCTACCTTGTAAAATAACTGAAAATGGTCATCCACTCAAGAGTAGGCTGATTGATAAATATGCTTGACTGCCCAAAAAGGGGAGAAACTTCAGATTGGTCAGGGCTTGAGGAGATATTTTTTGTTGTGTAGATATTCATACTCTATACTTAATTTTCTATATATAAAGTGACACTTTGAACTCTACAAAGCAGTTAAGCCTTTGGAAAACAGTATTTTTAGAAGCTGAAGTGTAAATATATTGCAAGAGTTATTATCTGTAATTGAATCTTGCCTTTTTATCTGAATAACTTTAGCATATTCAAGAGATTCTTTACCCTGAATGAGGCTGGCTTCCATGAATATGTCAAAAATGCTGGGGCTGATGTCACATTTATTTGGACCTAGGACTTTGCTCTCATTGCTATTTAGTTTTTCCTGTTTCTGGGTAATTTTAATTAGTTAAGCTGCTTCCTGAAGAGTTTAAAAAGATGAACATGAATAAAATAGAAGTGTTGGGAGCATATTCTTGATGGCTTTACTGTGTCTTTGGTCTTTCTGACTTTATGTAGTTGTTTGGTTTTTGCCTAAACATCCTATTATGCAACCATCTTGCTGATCCTAGAATGCACATATTTTACAGATGTGCAAATTTTTTGTTTATTGGTTTTATTCAAATATAGTTTCCCAACTCTTTTGGAGCTACTTTTGATAAAGTGACTATTTTAAAAATATTTTTTAGTTGTAGTTGGACACAATACCTTTATTTTTATCTATTTATTTTTATGTGGTGCTGAGGACTGAACCCAGTGCCTCACACGTGCTAGGTGAGCACTCTACTGCTGAGCCACCACCCCAGACCCCTAATTATTATTAATGCTATCATTATTATTAGACTTTAGCTTGCATTGTGGTTACATCTGAAATTGGATGTTTTCCCTTGTGGTATACTAGCTTTTTAGTTTAGTTTTGTTTTGTTTTGTTTTGTTTTAGTGCTTTCCTACTATTTCATTTATAATGAATGTTTATCAGTTATTCTTTTGATAGTAAGCTATACATAGCATTATGAAAAAAGAAAATAAAGTTTAGAAAAAAATTAAATGAGATAGCTTAAGTTGCACCCATTCTTTTGTTTCATCTGCTGCCAAGAAGTTTTCCTGCTTAAGGGTAGAGAAACAAACCAAAGGCCTTTTGGTATTTGTGAAGGACTACAATTGTATTACTCCCTGTGCTTTGATTAGTCATTTTAATACCCCTTTAAAAAGGTTATTAAATGATGAAACAAGTCCTAAACAGTAAAGACCATCATAGAGATTATTAAATTAAAGATGAAGAAAAGGAGCCTCATGGAGATTAGGGAAGTACCTAGGATCACTCACATGGGACTCAGATTGCCTGAATCCAGACTGGACTCTTTGGAGAAGTAAGAATTAAATATTAGATTGATTTTAATTTCATCCAGCATGGAAAGGGTAGGGCCGTAGTATGAATTTGGGATAATGGACAAGTATATTATGTAGATTATTAAAGTAAATGTTCTGAAGACAATAGAGGAATTCCACAAGCATGTTTTTTTTTTTTTTTTGGCTTCTTTTGTCTTTAGCAAATATTAACGTTTACCTGAAAGCTTTCCTCCAAATTCAAACAAATCTGAACTTTAAAACTTATTTTTTCATGTTTTTTTTTTCCTGGAATCTTTTTGTATGTATTTAAAGTGATTGATTTTCATAAAGAAATGTTCCCTGGACATATAAATATTTGCTTCTAAAATTAAAGACAGAAAGTAGTAGAAACACAGCCTTGATATGGTAAAGTGTTTATTATAATAAAATGTAAAGAGATGATTTTAAGAAATCATTAAGCTGGAAAACATTTACCTACAGAAGGCCTTCTTTGCTTAAAATAAGTTTAGAAGGTAATTATTCACCTTTCTTCCTCAATTAAATTGCATAGTATCCTGGAAGTACTGAATAGGAAAGTATTAGCTAGAATTTTTCATCATAAACAAATAGGAACTATAATAATAATGTGTAAATTTTGATGACAAAGATTTCAAATGAATGTGCTACATGTGAAACTTATATTATTCATATGAAAATAAAATATTTTCCCCTCCTTACTATATAAGATTATAGTTTTCTGACATCACAGTGTTATGCAATTGTGACACAGAGAATCATGCTTTTAAAATGCTTAGAAAATAGTAAGCAAAATTTGGGAAAGGAAGCTTTATTTTAAGCAATATTATGTTTATGAAATCTTTATGGGAAAGTGTACTAATATTTACATTTTCCTTTGCAATGCAAAAACAATAAAAATGAATTGATGGATGTATAGAAGAATAGATAGAGGTGGAGAGATATGTGATGAAACAGTATTATAAAATATAATGATAAAATCCAGAAGTACTTATCTATTTTGTTAGGGCTGGTTGGGGAGGATTACCTTTCGTAAGGGAGCTTTTTCCATTCCTGCCAAGGGTGGAGAATAAGATGGGGGGAGTCCTCTGCCATAAAGGCAATTTTTAAAAAGTTGTGATGCTAACCAATAAATTAGGAAACCAAGCAAAACTGACAGAACATAGACACAAATCACATAAAGGCCATGCCATGAAAAAATTTTGTATACCTGGCCCTTCTTCCTCAAGGCTTCCCTTTCACAGCTAGTCAGGTTGTGAGCCCCCTGGTGGGGGCGGGGGAGCAAAGTATCCAAATGCTGTGCATCTATTAGTCTAGTTTTCCTGCAGATAAAAACCATAAAGAATTTATTAGGCAAATTTATTACATCTGGGCTAGGGATGTGGCTCAAACAGTAGCGCACTCGCCTGGCATGCGCGGGGTGCTGGGTTCGATCCTCAGCACCACATAAAAATAAAATAAAGATGTTGTGTCCACCGAAAACTAAAAAATAAATATTAAAAAAATTCATTCTCTCTCTCAAAAAAAAATTATTACATCTGCAGATATCACAGCTCAAGGAACAACAATGATATATAAAACATGAGCGTCAATAACAAAGTAGACTGTGTCTAGCTCTATGAGATACATTTGTTTCCATTGTGTTTTTACAGTGTAGAAATAATAATCCTTTGTTTTATTATGTATTTAAACTTAACAGAACTGTGTTATATTCAAAAAACTATGAATTGGTGATGTAACCTTATTTCTAGTTATAGATAGCCCTCAAGCATCTGCTTCCTAGAGAAGGATAAGTATCATTTGATATTTTTTGAATTACCCCCAATGTCTTTTCTTTCCCCACACATAAGCATGTTCACATAATAAAGGATTCAGTTTGCTGTAGATTCTGATTCTTATTATATTTATCTCATTACATTTTATAGAAAAAGATACTTCAGTTTGGTCAGTACCTGGGAAATTGAGGATCATCTCTGTCTAAATTATAGACAGATGGAGGAACAAATACTAGATTTTCTCAGACTTCCTAGTTTATGGACCTCAGAGTATTGAAGTGGTTGAAAAAAAGAGGATTACTTTGGTAAAATCTTTAATGAGCACTCTGATTACATGTGGTTATTGCTATGCAAGGGCACATGTTTGTCTTTTGGTTATTGATTTTATAAATAAAAGTTGTTTAAACCCAAAGCCTTCCCATTAATTTAAGTTTTCCTGATCCTCACAC